CCCGACTTTCCCGATTTTCCCGACTACTAGACACCCTGTAATTAATATGCCTATTGTTTTGGTTTTCAATTCTATGTGATTTATTTTCTTTTAATTTATTGTTTACTAGCTGTACCCGCGGACTTTGCCCCGTTTAACTTCTTAATTTTCAAGATGATCTCGTTCACATGGCTCAATCACGTCCTGGTTGAAGTTCACCCATCTTTAGGTTGGAGCTCGTTCGCTACGCTAACTCACCTCCAGGTTGAAGTTCGTTCGCTACGCTTACTCACCTTTTGGTTGCAAATTAGCTGTTGTCATAAATTTAAAAAAATAATAGTGCTGCTCTCTGTTGGTAATCTTGTAACTTTAATGCTATTGAACATCATAGAACAGAACCAACTTGTTTAATTGAAACAGCTGTTAAGATATTATTTTCTCCATAAGGATAACATGGTAACTTTGGGAGCCTGAGGGGTGGACCCCAGAGGTTAAAATCCTTTCTTAGTGAGCGTCTACTACCCAAAAGGAAGATGCCTGCCAAGTTTCAGGTTCCTAGGTCTTATGGTTTCTGAGATTTCGTGATGAGTTGAGTGAACGATGTTATTTGATAGTGGTATTTGAGCTATAGTGGTATTTGAGCTTTATATATACCGGTATAGATAAATTTAAATTAAATATGACACGAGTCAGCCATGTTATCTTGTGGGACGTCTGACGATAAACCAATACTAGCCTTCTTGTGACATTGAAAATTCTACCATAGATTATAGGCCGGGGCCTGGATTTAAAGGTGGCCGTGGCTATACAGTATCATTAAAAGATTTTTTAACTGAAATATTCAGTCATAGGTACTAAAATACCAGATACAAGGCATTTTTTTGATACTGCACACAGAAAAAATGCCTGCAATGGTGTAGGAGGCATTACAAAGAGCGAAGTCACTAATAGTCTACAATGTACCATTGACAACCAAATTTTAAATGCTAAGGATATGTTAGATTTTGTTAAAAAAATCTTAAGGGTATTCAATACTTTTATGTACAAATAGGTAGTGAAGAAGTAGAAAAAAACTAATTAGAACTTCAATTTTGATTCAAAGGGCGTCTACCAATTCCCTAACCACATTCCTTTTACAGATTTGTAGGTACCTGTGGCAGACCACAAATAGTCCAGGACCTGACTAGGGTTCTGTGTGCATGTCGTGTATAGAGAATTTTGCTTTTGCATTTCAATATAGGTGTATTAGGAAGTGTTTTCCACTCGGGTGTCAAGTTCGCACCTGGTACGTTTTTGAGCTATGACGTCATCAAGATGGCGGCTCGGCAATTTTTAAATGCGTATATTTTGCAAACGGTTTAACGGATCGGGATGATTCTTTTTTTGTTTGAAAGATATTTTTACAAGCTATCTTTTTTGTATTTACACATTTCTTGTCAACTTAATATTTATCTAACTATATTAAAAAACATGTTTTTTAATATCATTGTTTTTGAATTTTTCCTCATAACTTGTTAAACGCTTATAGAATGAAATAACTACCCATTACAAAAGTTGTAGATAATTTTATGCCCTTTCCAACGATACCAAACGATTAATGTTTGAAACTAAAATTAAAGCCAACAGATTAAATAAACCGTTAACTAACACTTAACATGGTAGAAAGTCCGGAAAATATTGAGGCTGGAACAATTCTTCAAGTGCGTATATTTCGCATACTGGTTAACGAACCGGGATGATTCTTTTTTTGTTTGTAAGATATTTTTTTAGCCTATCTTTTTTGTATTTACACCTTTGTTGTTAACCTACTATTTGTCAAAAAGTTATAAGCAAAAGTAAAATAAAAACAACAATTAAATGTACATTTATTAATATTGTTGGATAAATAGTAGGTTAACAACTAAAGTGTAAATACAAAAAAAGATAGGCTTAAAAAATATCTTACAAACAAAATAGAATCGTCCCGGTTTGTTAACCAGTATGCGAAATATACGCACTTGAAGAATTGTTCCAGCCTCAATATTTTCCATACTTTCTACCATGTTAAGTGTTAGTTAACGGTTTATTTAATCTCTTGGCTTTAATTTTAGTTTCAAACATTAATCGTTTGGTATCGTTGGAAAGGGCATAAAATTATCTACAACTTTTGTAATGGGTAGTTATTTCATTCTATAAGCATTTAACAAGTTATGAGGAAAAATTCAAAAACAATGATATTAAAAACCACGTTTTTTAATATAGTGAGATAAATAAAGTTGACAACATAAGTGTAAATACAAAAAACATTTCCTGTAAAATTATCTTTCAAATGAAAAAAAAAATCATCCCAATTCGTTAAACGGTATGCAAAATATACGCATTTAAAAATTGCCCTAGCCGCCATTTTGATGACGTCATATCTGGAAAACGTAACAGGCGCGGACTTGAGACCCAAGCGGAAAACACTTCCTAAGACACCTCCTATTGAAATGCAAAAGCAAAATTCTCTATACACGACATGCACACAGAACCCTAGTCAGGTCCAGGACTAAAAGTAGCGTTTTAAAACATCAAAATTTTTAAACTCTATTATTCAAATATAACATTACCTATATTAAAAATGCATTGATAGTGTATTATAATATAATATTATGCTTCATACGCTATTACACGTAATGCTTATTTGAGTACTTTTCAATGTTTCATAACTTTAAAACCAGTTGAGTCCACAAAATAAAATTATTAGCCTACAGGATAATACTCTTACTTAATACTATACCTGAGCCAAATTTGAAATTTTTATTTTCATGCCCAACAGATATGTAAGCATAGGTAGGCCTACAACTTTTGAAATTTTGAAAATTTTAAGATTTTGAAAATTTTTATTAAAAACTCTATGCAAGTTCACAACTCGAAACTTTGAGAATTTGGTGTAGGCCTACACACCTAAAACTGTCGGATAAAAAAATAACAAACTCATTGTCAAATTGCCTTTATAAAGAAATTGTTAAAAATAAGTTTTCGTAACATCGTTGCGTTAAACTTTATACAGGTAATTAGACCTATATATTTATTTTAAGTGCATAACTATATTACCATAATAAAGTTTATATCTTTCTGAAGAGATTGGTTTAATTTTAATGTTCTAGGATTAGTAGAACCAGAGATATTTAATTTAGCGTAGAGCTCTGAAATTGCTGAAAGGGGGCATTCGACTAACAAAAAAATGGCCGCCATACAGTAGAAAAATAAAATAAATAAAAAATAATTGTATTTTTGTACTTCTAATGATTTTATGTTTAAGGGATTTTCAAGTATAAAAATATGAAAAAAATTAAAAATCTTGAAGCAACCAATTAGGCTAATTTATTTCTGGACCACTTGATATGGATTGACCCAGTCAGAAGTCTAATGTAAATTCAAAGTACCGTAGCCTATGTGAACAAAAAACAAGCAAAGACAGTAAGTTAAATCTTACGCAGAGGATACGCATCCGGTAACCGGACGTGGATTAGGCGTCCGGCAGTTACTGTCATAACCTAACCTAACCAACCAAACTTGCTGACATTGAAAAAATCGAATGAAGGTTAACTTAAATTCTGTTCATAAAATAAAATTACAAATGCCAACAATTCTAACAAAAGATGTACAGTTAAGAAGAAATGGCATTCAAAGCAAAATCTTTGACAAAAAGTTAAAATTGTACCGATGGGTTTAGAACCAGGGACCTCTTGCATATCAGCCGAGCACTCTATCCACTACACCACGAAACACCGATGGCTGTACATCGTATCGTTGTGGTAATGGCGTTACGGGCCCCCACATCCCGGTGACATCACTGCAGGACGCCTAATCCACGTCCGGTTACTGGACGCGTCTATCCTCTGTGCAAATCTTATCTTAATTAAATTTTATATCCTACAACACTCATCTCCATTCACAAGTTAGGCCTACTTGGCTTGAAATACCTAAGTACCTTTATATAGTCACCATTTCAGATAAATGTACCTATTAGGAATATAGTAACTAATTAACCCCTAAAATATTACACTCCAACAATAGGAACCCTACTGTAAAAGTAAAAGTAGCCATAATAAGAAACAGACACCATTAACTATAGATACTTATCATCGGGGAGTGGCAGTAACTGGATGCAAAACTGTTTGTACACACGAAGAGATTAGCTTACATAGCAAGTTAAGTTAGGTAGGTCCATATAGTCTATACTCCCAATTCATGACAGGAACTCAGAATTCAGTCATGAATGTTTAGCCCTAAGTTCGCCCATTCATAAACAGCCTAAATCTAAAAACGCCGGTTATATGTGGGCCTGGGGAAAGACCAACTGGGGTTTAAATCCAAGTTTAAAAACCAACTGAAAACCAAAAATGTAAACAGACTGAGTTTATATTCATTAAAACAGTAAATCTCCAAGAACCTACTTCTGTCCCAATTGCAACGTTGCCTATTGGTCTAAGCACCCTCATCTTTAATGCAACATCACCCTACAGTCCACACTACAACACTGAACAGCAACTTTCAGTTCTAAATAGCAAAAATGGGTCCCCAATAAAAATTTGAAAATTTGACCTTGAGTCAAGGGTGTATGCCCATAGATTACTATGCACAACTAAAATTGGTGGAACACTCGATATTTTGGAGAATATCAATGAAAACAAGATGTAAACAATCAATTTAAGGTTATGTTTATGCTTTGAAAGTGTCTAAACCAAGTTGAATAGGCTACTCTAACTATAGGTTGGTGGCATATGGGGTAGCCTAGGAAGCTGGATAATGGTTGTACACATATTTATACGGATAGAATTTGCTAATAAGGTAATATTTATTAATTTAAAGCCTGAAAATGTTAGGTTAGGAAGGGAAAAGCAACCAAATGTACCTGATTTTACCAAGTAAAAATACGATTTATTCAATGAAAATTTTACAGACGACGAAAGAATATATTAGGAAGCTTATGAACATAAAATATAGGTAAAACTCTGCTACATTAATTAATAAAAAAATTATTTCGCCAGCCTTACCTGGTTCATCATTCAAGAAGGACGCGTGCACTGCTCGTTATAATCCGCAATAACTCGACACTATGCAACACAACTATTGTAAAACTGCTTAAATCCGAGAAAATATACGACTAATTATTAATATATTGATGATTTGGTCACAAAAATATACTGTATGACCTGATTTTAGGGTGTCTTATTTTATCTATTCAAGTCGAAATGGCTGCCAATTGCCAACTTTCCTTCGTGTTTTACTTTATTTAAACTTACTCGCGAAATAACGAATATCACAAGAGATTATGTTAAATTTGATTCACTAGAAAAATTAAACTAAATAAAAACAAAAGTATAACAAAAAAGCACGGAAGACTTAAAAATCTTGTAAAATGATCACCGATGCTGAAATATAGACCGCAATGACGACGGCCATCTTGATGATCTCTTCCTCTCAAAAGTACCACAATGCTCAGCGCGATTCGTGACACGACAAAGAGACGAATTCGCCCGCACCTCGCCCATGCTCAGTTTGAAACGCGCCAACGTTTAAATGTAGCAACAGCGGTCTTTGGAAAACGTATATATTTGAGCGGTACTATAACAATTCTGAGCATCGAGTAGACAGACAGTCTTTCCACGAACGATCGGACGAATATTAGCGTTTTATACCAAACGTTTAGGCACTTTAAAAACTAGTTATTTAGATCTAGGTAGATCCTTTGAATACATTATAAAACTATGAATTACTAAACAACATGGAAACCGGGGCTGCCTTTAGAAGCGCTTCAATGACTACCTGATAAAAGGCATTCATTCGTTCCCCTAAACCCATGGAAGTCTGGGTACAAGAATTTTGTGAACTACCTCTGCAATTTGATTAAGAAAGCATATATGTTTCTCAATAATAGGATTGATAGTGATTTATCGAGAAAGGAAGAGTACATAGTAATGATAGCTTTCCTGGAATGTAATACCTATAGAAATCCGATTTTAAAACCTTTCTGCCAGAGCCACGTTTTTGGTCAAGGCTTCATGGAGTAATGGTCAACACAGAAATCAAAAGAAAAACTCCAGAAGATTGACTAGGAAAACCAAGGACTCTATACAGCTTTGATGCTTAAAAGAATAACGTCCATTTATCATGTAACTGATTGGGATGTCTAAGATAAAGGTTTGGTTATATTTAAAAAAAACTAGGTATTTTGGAAAACGTCCAAAGTGAATGATAAAACGAAAGAAATACAATCCTTGATTCAGGGAAAATACTGAATTAATTTAAGAAAATTCATAAAAAAATTTATTCAGACTTTATGAATCCTTAATGAAGAATGCCAACAAATAGTAGTTTCCAGAAAACATCAATGGGTATTAAAACAATGGAAGACTTGCATAGTTTAGAGATAATTCTTCCCAAAAACATTTTAAGAACTGCAGAAAATCTTAAAAAATCAATTTATTCCACTACAATTAAGATAAACAAGAAAAATATTAAAGAGTCATTGATGGCATTGAAGATTTACTGAGACATTCAGGAGAATTTAATGATTGATAAAATCAAAAGCCACATACATTCACAAGCACCATAACCTTTGTTAGAAAAAATAGCTAATACAATCATGACTTACTAGAAAGTGCAGAAGATGAAAAAAAATAGCAACAAGCCTTTTTGAGCTACAATGCTAATTTTTTAACATGCATTCGTATAATATAACTAATTAATTGGTTTTAAGTTGCTTTCCTAATAAAGTTGAGAAGTATAAAGAATACAGTTTGAAGATAAAAGTAAGATAAATAGGGAGAGTGATCATGCGGATAAATCAGTGAAAAATATCAATATTTAGAAACATATTTGTAAGTGATAAAGACAAGTCCAAACAAGTTTCATGATGATAGAAACACATATAGAATATTAAGTTTTAACTAAGCTAGTAGAAACACCAATGTTAGTACCATGCTAAAAGAAAAAAATCACTAAAATTGATTACATATTGCTACAAACAAAACACACTCACATGAACTCACCAAAATGTGGTCGCTTTTCCTCCTCTTGATTTTCACTAAAATACACATAAAATATTTTCAAATCCAACACTGTTCACTGTATTCATGCACTGTACTGACCAAATAAGCCTCTTCTTTCACCAGTGTAACTTCCAGCTGAAATTCCACAACTTGAGAGGATAAATTGGAATGGAAGAAAAATAAAAAGTTTAAATCAGCTTTATAAATTTTATTTATAAAAAGACAACACACGATTCTAGAAAAAAGTTTGTACAAAAAAATAGTTTAGTTTAGAGTCTCCTCCGTTTACGTGGCCTCGGTGGGTTGTCAGAAACTCTCGTACTATCTGTGACTGATATGATGTCTAAACCTCCCATCACAAGGCCTTTGACAGATGACTGAAACACACAAAAACACAACTTCTTAAAAAGACTAAATTAGCCTGGTATGCCGAGGAACAAGTAAAATCAAAATTTGCATTTACTGAAAAGAAAAGATGCAAGTGGATAAACACAAAGTAGACTTTTACTGGCCATGGGCCAATAAAGAGGGCTTAGTAAAACAGACCAATGCGGATTTTGTGTATAGGTGATATTTGCTTTTAATTATGGCTGGAATGTCCAGCCCTAAATAGCCTGGAGAAGGTTGATATGACTTGGAAATTCGCCTTGCCTGTTTTCGCTTCCATAAGTGATTTGTAGTTATTTATTGTTATTGTTAATATTTATTCATTTAAATAGTTGTAAGCTATTTGTAATATTTTATTGTATTATACTCCGTTTATAAACTTTAGGCAGTATTAGGGAAAGAAATATATCCCCTCCACATCATCCTACTGTACCATTAAATTAATAGCTCAACAGCTGATGTTTGTAAAAAGCCTATCAGCTGCTATTAAGTAAAAACAGCAGTGGGCGAACTTCCCCTCAAACCGTCTAAATTTTGTGAACGGAGTATCTAATCTTGTTAATAGCAATCTCCGTATTTATAAATAAGTCAATATAAAATGGTAATTACCATTGTGAAATAATTAAATAAAAAGTGAGAAATAGAGACAACAGCATTTATAAGTGAAATGGCTCAAAGGATATGATGAAGTGTTTCAAGTGAAAAGGTATAAAGGGCAACAAAAAAATTTGCACTTTAAGTAAAAGGGCACCATAGGAAAAGATGGCATCTTAAATGAAAGATGCAGTGGAGAGGGGGAATTTAAGGTAAAATGGCAGCATCCAGGAACGTTTTTTAAAGAGCGGGCGAACTATAAGAGAGGGTGTATTTGAAATGAAATGGCACATAAGAGGTATAGCCTATGATGTTAAGTGAAAGAGCACCATAGGAGAGGGGTATTTAAATTTAAAATGCATTATAAGTGAAAGGAATGACTTATGTGAAAGGATACCTATGTTTGGGGGGGGGGGGGGAGATTGATGATGGTAAAGAAGCAAACTGTAACTTAAATTCATTACACTTTCCAGATAGCTCATGTAATGTTTTTCATTAGTTATTCAATTGAAATCTAATATGAGCCACCAGGGTTATGTTTGAGAAATGAAAGTAGGCTAGCTTTAAAAAATTAAGTAGGCCTATTATTTGTTTAGACAAATGAATCGTTTAAATTATCAGGCCATTTACTAGTTTGTTTACATTTTTTGTAAACAATTCAAATTATGATAACAGGTCACTTCATAAAACCCTCATAAGCCACTTTATAAATTTTTTCTAAGTATGTCAGAATGTATACATTAAAACATATGCTTTTGTTTTACTTGTAAGTGTTTGTAAATCTTTCTTATTGTACATCTTTCTAAGAGTAAATAATTTTAAAAAGTATAACTTACAAAATATATATTTTATTAAAACATTTTTAAGCTTTACAACCAAGTCACGATTTTGAGGCTTGTTTTTAGGCTTGATTTGTTTTGCCTAAAACATCCGATTATGTAATCGCTGAATTTTTGTTGACTTTTGTATATTGCATTTGTTATAAATGTTGAAGAACAATAAAACTTTTCTGATTTCCGATTTGTCAAAAAAAAAATTATTTCAAAAGAACTATTTGTTGTGGCTTTTAGGCAGTACAACATTATCAACCCAGATTTTCAATGATCCATGTGACATTTTTATTATCACTATGGCATCCTGAGCATAATGCCATCTTAGTGTCATCCTGATTGTCGTGATGACATCGTGAATCTTCCCTGTGATTGCAGTGATAACCTGAGTGTTGTGATGACATCATGAACATTTACTGTGATGGCAGTGACAATCAAAATTGCCGTGATAACAAAATGAACAACCGCAATCGTCGTGATGACATCCTCAACATCCCTTACACACAGTGAAATCCTGATTGTAATGAGGACATCATGAACATTTCCTGCTATCGCAGTGACATCCTGATTGTTTTGATGACATCATGAACATGTACTGTGATCTCAGTGATGTATGAAATTGCCATAATAACATCACAACATATCCGCAATCCCGATGACATCCTGATAATTATCATGTCAGCATGATGATTTCTTATGAACCAAGTGACATTTTTATTAATACGATGACATCCTGATCATCCCTCACAATCACAGTGCCATCCTGATTGTACAGATGACATCATGAATATTTCCTGTGATTGTGTCATCCAGTGACAACCACCAGTGAGTGTAGTGATGACATTATGAACATCTACTGCCATTTCAGTGACATCCGAAATTGTCGTAATAACACTATGAACATCTACCAGAATTGCGGTGACATCCTGATTGTGGTAATGACATTATAAAGATTTTTCTTAATCCCAGTGACATCCTGATTGTCGCAATTATCATGAAGATTTCCTAAACATTCACTAAATTCACAGTGCACTATGGCCGAATAACATTTTGCACATTTCTTGTAAATGACATTATGATTGTCTTGAAGACATCATGATTGTCTTGATGGCATCATGATTGTCTTGATGGCATCATGATTGCCTTTATGACATCATGATTGCCTTGACATCATGATTGCCTTGATGACATCATGATTGTCTTGATGGCATCATGATTGTCTTGATGGCATCATGATTGTCTTGATGGCCTCATAATGTCATGATGACATCATGATTTTCATGATGACATCATGATTTTCATGATGACATCATGATTGTCTTGATGACATCATGATTGTCTTGATGACATCATGATTGTCTTGATGACATCATGATTGTCTTGATGACATCATGATTGTCTTGATGACATCATGATTGTCTTGATGACATCATGATTGTCTTGATGACATCATGATTGTCTTGATGACATCACGATTGTCTTGATGACATCATGATTGTCTTGATGACATCATGATTGTCTTGATGACATCACGATTGTCTTGATGACATCACGATTGTCTTGATGACATCATGATTGTCTTGATGACATCATGAACTTTTCTGTAATCCTAGTGTTATCCTGATTGTCTTGACGACATCATGATTGTCTTGATGGCATCATGATTGTCTTGATGGCATCATGATTGTCTTGATGGCATCATGATTGTCTTGATGGCCTCATAATGTCATGATGACATCATGATTTTCATGATGACATCATGATTGTCTTGATGACATCATGATTTTCATGATGACATCATGATTGTCTTGATGACATCATGATTGTCTTGATGACATCATGATTGTCTTGATGACATCATGATTGTCTTGATGACATCATGAACTTTTCTGTAATCCTAGTGTTATCCTGATTGTCTTGACGACATCATGATTGTCTTGATGACATCATGATTGTCTTGATGACAGCATGATTGTCTTGATGACATCATGAACTTTTCTGTAATCCTAGTGTTATCCTGATTGTCTTGATGACATCATAATTGTCTTGATGACATCATGATTGTCTTGATGACATCATGATTGTCTTTATGACATCATGATTGTCTTGATGACATCATGATTGTCTTGATGACATCATGATTGTCTTGATGACATCATGATTGTCTTGATGACATCATGATTGTCTTGATGACATCATGATTGTTCTGATGACATCATGATTGTCTTGATGACATCATGAACTTTTCTGTAATCCTAGTGTTATCCTGATTGGTTTGATGACATCATGATTGTCTTGATGACATCATGATTGTCTTGATGACATCATGATTGTCTTGATGACATCGTGATTGTCTTGATGACATCGTGATTGTCTTGATGACATCGTGATTGTCTTGATGACATCATGAACATTTTTCACGATTGCAATGACATCCTGATCATCTGACATTGTGGTGACATCATCATATTTATGATTTTAATGATGAATTATGAACATTTTCTGTCAACCTAGTGACATACCGATTTTTTTGACGACATATTAACACCTCTGCGATCATAGTGACATCCTAAATTGCCGTGATAACATCATGAACATCTACTAGAACTGCAGTGACATCCTTCCAGCAGGATTCATGATAAATTCCTGAATATAAAGTACTAATGGCGGAACTTCCCGTTGAGCTTCATCACACCAATTTTATATTTATAATTTAAAAACATTTAAAATATTGTTGAAAGAAATCACATTTCAACCACATTATGTATTTAATTGCTGTTTGGGGATTGTAAGTTTGAAATTTTTATTCATTTTATTTACTAAAATTTTTTTTTTTTGCACTTTTACTTTAAAAATAAACTTTCTATGGAATAATATTATTATGGTCTCGGCAACAACGGTAGTTGTCTCCCACAATTGCGGCAACACGCATGCACATAGCTTGCGTTCTTGGCAACAGCAGTAATCATCTCCCATGATCGCGGCAACACATGTGTGCATATCTTGCAGCCAATACTGCAACCAAGAGCATGTTTTGAGGTCTTGGCAACCCCAATTTTCGTCTCACACATTTATGGCAACTCCCAGGAGCATATCTTGCTGTCTCAACACCATCAGTAATTGTCTTTCGCGACCACGGCAAAAACTGTGAGCATATTTTTAATCTGGACGTCATCACTGATTGTCTCTCACTTGCGACACAGAAAACGTACTACTATAACCCAGAATGCCAACCACATGGTAAAAAGCATTAAGCGGTTTGAGAGAGCTTTGCCTGTCAATCCGTAGACAGCGCCACTAGCGTTGGTTGCTATGCTATTGCATGGCAACGCTGGTGGCGCTGCCTACGATTGACAGGCAAAGCTCTCTCAAACCGCTTAATGCTTTTTACCATGCAGTTGGCATTCTGGGTTAAGAGTCTTCCTTAGTGGAAGCCATGTTGGATTTCTTCCCCATAAGAACAATGTTAACTTTGGGTCCAAATATCTCATCAGCAAATTGTCATATAATTATGGATAAGGAGTTAAATTTAAGGAATTGCGGTCCTCTAGAGTTTGACGTTTTTTATTTCACAATTTTTAATTTTTATAATGAATAATTGATTATTAATTAGCTTAAAATTAAGCTAATTATTGAAAGGAAATGAAAATGGATTTTCGAAATTCAAAAACCTCAGTCACGAGTCTATTATGTTAAAAATACAAATTTTAAATTTCAAAGCTATATCTTAACAAATAACGCCGTTACGTGTCCACAAATGATGCATGTTTAAAATTGTTCTTATGGGGAAGAAATCCAACATGGCTACCACTAAGGAAGACTCTTAAAGTAGTACGTTTTCTGTGCTTGCGATGCAATAACACCAGTGATAGTTGGTACCTGCCTTTTTTTTAAATTAAAAACAATTTCAAAAACTTAAATTTAGTAAAAGTAAGTTTGAATTTAGGAATTGGATTTGGGTTGTTTGTACCTCTCTTTCTGCAAAAATTTAGAAAATTTCAATCCTTTTTTTAACATAAAACATTTTAAAGAATTTGAAATAACCGGCATCAGCAATCTGACACATACTTTCTCCCATTAGCTTGTCAACAATCTTTATCATAGGTAAGCGATGAGAGCAACTATGATAATAGGTAAAATCACAAAAGTTGCATTAGCTTTTGAACCGTAATTTTTACAGCAACGGGGGTTGCACTATGTTGTTAAGAATTATAAGGACCATCGCATACTAATTTCAATCAAAACCGGCTTTATGTCAAAAATCCAATTTTCTCTTATTTTATGGTGTTTTATGAGAAAATAAAAGTTACAATAGCTTTTAAACCGTAATTTTTACAGGAATGGGAGTTCTACCATTTTGTTCAGAATTTAAAACACAGATTGAACAAATACAGCCAATAGACATAAATAGGCATCTAAAAACAAGTTCCATGTACGTTGTTGGCCTATTGCAGTCTTTTTGATGGTTTGAAACTGGACCCAGCTGTTCCTGATCATTGGGCTTTAAATAAATGATCCTGACTAATGACCGCTGATCTTAGTCAGTACAGTAACAAAGCTACACAGGTCATCACACACCATTCTACACTCATCCTTCACTCATATTTGGGTTTAAATACGCACCTAGGTGGCGTCCCCATTTTAATGATTGATAATTGATAATTGATATAAAGGTGCTGTTTAATTCAACATCAACATTTTCGAAAGTGATTACAGTTGGTCGTAGATCCAGGGTCATTTAATAGAAAATGTATATAGGCTACTGAATATAAACCGCTCTACCGATAGGCCAATACGTTAAAATATTTCTAGGTGTTTTTCTCCAAATTATGTAATCTTACAAAGTTCTAAATCCTTAATTTCCAGTATCTTTTGGTTTAATTTCCTTTCAAAACATTTTCAACTTTTTTCAGCTTTTATTACTATATTTTGAGAAGGTAGTTATAAAACTTTATCCCAGAAACATTGGATTTTTTGAAATTTCTATTTTAGAATCATTATTTTTAAAAAAAATCTGATTTCTTGTTATTTTATGTGTGAATGTTTTATTGTCTTGGCAAAGTCTCTTATTTTTTACATGTAGTACTGTTCTATAAATATAAAGACTAAAGACAGTCATAATTTTCAGATTATGCCTACAAAATTGATCTCAACAATGAGCATCATCAAGAAATTTAAGCATAGTCCTACTTGCAACTTTTTGAAAATGTAGGATTCCTTGTAGATTTATGATTGATGTTGCGCTATAAATCTCTATACCATAAAGAACAACATCTACTGTATTGTAGGCTAGCTTACCCTAAAAGATAGGTTAATAGGCTACTGCAACACATCCAAACATCTAGCCTAATTCTGCCAGTTAAACGACACGGTCATCTCTCAAAGACAAACATTCAACATTTCTGATCATGACTGATTATTTTATTGATTTGAATTTACGCTACGTCGCTAAACTTATCTTTTGTCAAGTAATTGTAAAAGTGTGCGAGCAGTTCTATTTCCGAGCTGAGCCTGGCCTACAAGCTCGAGAGATCGAACACAAAGTCAAACTTGAGCCAAAATTGACAGATACAGAGAGAGAGAGAGAGAAAAAAAAATAAATAAATAAAATTTAGATCGCTAGACGCATCTTCCGTGTTAGCAAAAGTTTCATCCATATTTATTAACTTATTAGGTAGGCCTATCTACTAAAATAATTATATTTTACACTATATTTTAAAATTTTCTTAAATTTAATTTTAAAAAGGTTTTTTACTATGCAAGATTAGTTTATTAATTTAACTACGCTACGCAAATTCATAATAGAAAAAGCTTGGCTTCAAAAAAAGCTCAAAGGAAGCTCGGCTCGATTGAAAATCTCAGACTCCCACACCTCTAAGTTATTGGTTAGTATTAAAATAAAAACGTCTGCCATAAAAATAAGGTTGCCAATGACAAAGAAAAATAATATATATACTTAAAATATTGAATTATTATAGGCCCTAACAGCTATAAGACTGATTAGGTTTGATGTCTGTTATGTAAATGATTTCTCATTATAGTCAATGAACCTGTTTCATAAGGATCTGTCCAAATCATCTTGTTTCCAAAAAGTTCACAAACAATTTTTATAATGTTCCTTCAGAACCAACAAACAATCCAATCACCTCCATTTTTGAAATTTTGAAATTTTGCTTGAAATATTCAAAGGTTGATTCAGGTTGATTTGTTTCTTTTCTCCATTCACTTCATTAGATTGATTTATGTTGATTTCATATCTAATTGTTGGATCGAGAACTATCCCTTTGTTTGTTTGTCTTTCTAATCAACAAAATGTCCACTCTTCTAGTGTTTCCATCACAGGTAAGACAGTGTACTTCTTCATAGACTTCACATGAATTATTTTTCTGAAGGCCTTAGCTAATAATACTTCTAATTTTGTGGTGCCTCGTGTTTCTAAGAAGTTCAACAAACGGACCCAAGGTAGGGGTCTCAATCCTGGAATCCCAGGATCCCAAATCCTGGTCAGTGTTTGATACCTCGAAATCCCGGGATTGGCGTTTTATAATCCCCGGATTAACGGGATTGCAAAACCTAAGTTTATATTATTTTCTTTGTGAATTTGAGGAGTTTACTTCCGAAAAAAAAAATACGCTTAATAACACTTGAAACACATTATACTATTTACTTAAAGGACGAAAAATTTATACAGTACATGAAATATGGTATGAGTTATACTCTATTTCAATTGGACAATTTAATTATCACTAAACTCAATATGCGAACGTAATGTAAATATGTGTTTCAAATGTATTACACGTATTTTGATTACTTTCTGTAAATTGTATGAGGCCTACATTAGTTAGAAGTTAATTACAGTACCGAAATAAGTTATTTTGAGTTTTACTTTTGACATCAAACACAAACAACGCAATTGATGTGGCAAACATTAAACATGGCAATCGGTAATTTAAGTATTATTTTCTTGATAACAATTATTTATTTATTTATAACATTGAAGGCCTAACAATTAACTATAAACACACCATTATTATTTCATTATTAAGCTATCTATTGCTTATATTTTGGGTCTATAACTTTATCTTTGTATTTTGGTTTTAAGTGAGGCGATTCATTTTTTTAATCCTAAATTACGAGGTATTTTCCAATAAAAATACTGCAGGTAACTTATAAATACTTCTTAACTTTCAAAACATCTTTAAAACAAACAAATTTTGATTTGACTCACCGTTCTGCCGGGGCCAAGACCTTGTATCCTGACTCGCACTGTCTTCAATCCTTGGTTCAGAACCATCTGTAAAAAAGCATAAGTTAGGCCTATTATAAATACCTTAAAACACGACTTCAATTTAGATCACAAGTTAAACTAATTTTTCATTAACTATCAATATGCTTTAACTTCCTAGATTTGTTTACAGTGTAGTCGAATTTTGCTTGAAGTAGTTAGGGCAATTTTGCTTACTTCAAACTTTTAACTGATATTTCGGGAATGAAAGAAACTTACGGAAGTAAAGCTGATGGCAGTCGCTTGAGCGGCGATATTCGTTCCCTTTCTTGTGTTTTTAAATCCTTCAATTCCACATGATCGGTATATTTTAACTTCACCTGTAACAAATTCAAAATTGTCAAACACCTCATGTTTCAAAATAAATTGATGTAGGCTAGCCTATGTTCCATGGCATGTTGTAAGATGCTGATAAAAACTGAAACAGAAAGTTAACCCCCGAGAAACACTAGAAGAAGGCAGTTTCAACTAAATATAGTATTATGATTTAGAAATAATAGGCCTAGCAGAATTAGACAGAATTATTCCTAAAAAGAGAATGGATTACTATCTTAGACATGTCAACAAGAGCTTTTTTTAGAAAACAAAAATAAATTGTTGTACATTTATGTTCAAGGAGATATAATCCTGTTCAGATTGTGGCAATGTCAAGCGGGACCATGTGTGCAAAAGGTCTGTTTATGACAATAGGTGAAATCTATTTTTAGATAAAATTAAACGATCCATACCAGTTTTTCCATCAGATAATGAAAATATTGTGTTATTGCGAGAGACTCGAATGTTCACAATCGGCACTTCTTTGAATGGGATTCCTTTGAATAGTAAATCAGGTGTCTCTTCAGTGGGAAACATGTCTCTTCGACTGCAACACACGGACGTCAACATTTTATCAGTAACTGACAAATTACTTAACCATCCGAGGTAGATACAAATAAAGAAATTTTGAAAGTTATTGGTTCTAGGGTATATCAAATAGATACATTTCAGTAGGCTAAGTTACATTTCTTATCAGCAATGTAACTTAGTAAAAAGTTTAGGTAATATTAGACTCAAATGTATTTTACTCTCAAATGTTTAAGAAAATGTTGCATGAAATAAATTTTAGAAATTAAAACTGTCAAGTTAACATTTGACGTTAGGGTAACATCTAAGATAGGGCCTAATCTAGATTTTCAGTTTGGACTTTAATAAGCGCAGTACCGGTAGTATACAAACCATTGTGTGCCTAAAGCTCTCATTGACAAATCTAGTAAACTTAGGTGTTCCTAAACTGTTCTCAACATGGGTTAACACTAATACCAAAACCCTACCCAGGCTGACGCTAACCAAAACCCCCGGTCTCTGAGACCCCATTTGAAAAGAATGGACCATGCTTAGAAACACACTAACCGAAACTCTGGGCCTATGAGACCCCGCTTTAAAATACAGTACACTAACGCTGGGCTTCTGAGATGGACATGTTATGAACAGACAACCTGTCAAGGTCACGACACTCACGCAAAATGAACAAACGATACCGGTATATCAAAAGATACGGTCCGAGGAAAAGAGGGGAAGGTATTAGGGGAACGGAATCCCCCAAGTAAGCAGTGTTGCCAACATGCGTTTGTGAAAATTCCTGTGGGTCTGTCAGACCGGGGTTTCGGTATAGGTGTTAAGTTATAAGCCCACCACTCCTTTAGCTTAGAATAGAAAAATCAAAATTTGTACAACCCTTAAACTTAGTTAATAAAACTTAGTTTTATGCCTAGGTTCATAAGTTTCTACCTATCCATTAACGGATGAAAATGTTAATTAAGTAGGTAGTTTTACAGATTAGTAAGATAGGCCTACAGAGGACTCGTCATGCTTAAATGGAAAACCCGGGTGCGCTATTAAACCTGGCATGATAGGGTGGAAATGTAGGCTATTACTTGTAACAAGCAAGGAAGAGCCTGAATGGTGATGGCCACAAAGCATTTTTGTTCAGAAGTTTAACGCGCAGGGTCTTCCTACAGCGTGAGCGGTGTAGTACTTGATGACAAGGGGGAAATGAGAGTGGGAGAGGATGACAAGAAGAATTTGCTCAGACACCACTTAAGTGTACCCTACTAACTTTTATGATTTTTGTATCCTCTGGGGCCCCAAACAAATTTTGGTAAAAATATAGTTTTCTCATTATTTGGCCTATTTTGGTCACCTTTTTTTCTCTGACACTTTTGATGCAAACGTCTAAGTCATTTCATCCTGAAAATCGTGTTTAAAAGTCTCACGAAGTAAAAGCGCTAAAATTGGCATAACTTATTATTTTAGAGTAGGCCTAGTGTTTTCTTATTTTAGCGAATTTCCCATATAGGGAATAAGCTATTACCGTAGTACTCATGGTAAGGCCTGGACCCGAGACTGATCTATTTTTTCATTTTGAGGTCTCTAGAGGCCAAAAACACCATCCGTTCAAATTCATATATATATATATATATATTTATATATATATATTTATATATATATTTATATATATATTTATATATATATTTATATATATATTTATATATATATTTATATATATATTTATATATATATTTATATATATATTTATATATATATTTATATATATATTTATATATATTTATATATATATTTATATATATATATATGTGTCCGTTAGCGCGATAACTCGAGCAAAAATGATCCGATTTTGATGAAATTTGGTACAAACGTGTAAACCTACGTTTATTCGAACGAGTTCGCGATCCAGCATAATCGGACCATGGGAACGGGGGATTATGGGGGGTTTTATGGGGTAAAAATGGGGTTTTCCCATTTTTGAACCTAAAAACAAAAAATTTTGCGATTTCTTTCTAAAACATTTTGTAGAGCTTAAAAAAAGAAATAATTTAGTATATTGAAGCGCTGTTGTATGCCTTACGGTCACGGAGAAAATTAAAAAATAGTGTAATTAAAAATTCCCATGTTATTCTTATGGAGAAAATGAAAATTGTTGTAGTTTACTTGTTCATGGGTATATATTGATAAAATTTGGCAAATTTATTTATTTCATCCTATACTATTGATGTATGGTCCAAAAACACTTTTTACCTTTCCCGTAGCAGCAAACCTAAGCACTTGTTAAATCTAATGTTATTTAAATAGGGAATAATATGTCTTATTTATGGAAATATTTTAGTAAAAATGTAATCAGACAAGTTGAAATTCGCTTAGTCTGCAGGTTTGCTGCGGCGGGGGTTTTTTTTATTATTCGGGCCATTTCAAACACTTTTTCCCTCTGGCACTTTTTGGCAAATGCCTGCGTTTAAAAACTTAGGCTATTTAATTCAAAATATTCATTAAAACAATCACACACACAGTTCATTTACACGCAGCTTGGACCGTATAAGCCTGCACAAAATTTTTGGATTTTCCATGTCTGTTGCAGAAAGTTTAAAAACGTTCTGTTTTGGGGCTTTTACTTACATATCTGTGGTAGCCAAACTTACATGCGCAAGTGGTTAACTTCTGTTGGCAAAGTAGTTTATAGTAATTTAACACGTTGACTGCGGCCTACTGCTATAGCAGTAGCGCCGCACTGGCACTGCTCGCGGCCTACTGCTATATCAGTAGTGTGCTAGCCTGCCAAACATTGTGTCAGTGTACTTATGAGCCCAGTACACGGCCGGGAACGTTGTGATTGTTGCCAGTCTGTACCTTAGAATGCAAGCTTTATTTTGGTGTAGGTTGGTACTAAAAATTTCCGTAAAATCCCGTTTGGTAATGCTTTTGTCCCGTTTTCGGGGATTTTATCTATTCGAGCCATATTTCAAAGACTCTGGTTCTTGATCCAGGCAGTGCTGCTCCCTTTGGGTGTTTCAGTAAACTAAGTCCACTTTCGGGGTGACGCAGAACAATCACCACTGCTCTTTTGTGACTCGTCTTACTGAGATATTTCAATGCCAATAGCGTCGCCGATTCAGTAGCACGCCGGGGCTCCGCCCGCAGTATAAGGGAGCGCCATTGTAAAGATTTTCAGCAGTGAACGTGTTAAGGATCCAAGGGAATCCTCCCCCCCCCCCAAGTAAAAAAAACAGCTGTGTGATCCCTTGTTCCACCGTTTTTAAGTTAAGTTAGGCTACATCTTTAAGTAACTTACTGGCACCTAGATTAACGGTCATTAACTTATGGAATTTGTATCGGGTACAGTTTCTGGCTTTCTTCAACACCTTGGCAGCTTCCAGAGCCTGATTTATTAGTCTTGGCAATAAGTTAAAGACTACCATACTATAACTAGTATAAGATGGCGATAGAACCATTAACTTTTTCCTCATATGCTAGGCCTAGGCTAGCCTACAATTTTAGTAACTTAAGTTAGCAGACCAAGAGATCACAAACAATGGTAATAAATCTACACTTTGTGGTGCCTGAGACAGTTTGATATTCAACAATAGTGTGTTTGTGATCAATAAAAGGGAGTCTATCGAATCACCCGTCGAAGTTTGACCTTGACCGATTTAAAGGTCAGCAGTGAATATTAACTTAAATTTACTTAAGTATTAAAATCTCAGCCTCAGATTCTTACCTTTGAATCAATACATCCATGTTCACTGCTCTCTCGCCTGAAGTTCCATCATCTTTCTTTGGAGCCGAAGAAATAAGAGATCTTTTATCGTCTTTGTTACGTGGCAAACTGAAATGGAATTGCCTAACAATGGACACTAGAGAATTCTCGTGAAAACTACTTGGAAGTATTGAGAACTTGTTCGTTTCGTTAAATTTTGACTCTAAAGATCTAAAAATGGCTTTGGAGCCACAAATTTGAAGTATATTACGTAACATATTCCTAAATAAAATTAGTCCATTTCAGAGATTACCCCAGTAGATGCTCCACCTCCAACGGCGAACAGGAAAGAGAACGAGAACGACGAGGCGAGGCAGCAAAAACGATCGACCCGAGCGGCCGACGACAAGCACCGCCCTTGAAGGCAAACAACACCAAACAACGTTTTGATTTGTTTACAGCGCAGGCTCAGCCATCGGCTACGAAATTAACTCTTGATCGTTGGAAACATCCAAGAGAGTTGGTATATATCATGGTATATGCATTTTCCTTCCACCATGGGTTGTATCGTATCATAGATAAAACATACTCCCTTAGTGTTGGTTAGTCTATGGTTGTATATAGTAATCCATCCATGTTTATATACTGTAGTCAATAGTATAATGTAAAGCATGATCATTGCTATTGTTAATTGTTATTTTATGCAAATCTGCTAAGATTGTTTGTCTGACCCTGACCGCATATTATTCACACAGTTTGCTCCCCATCTATCCTCAGGATTTATCGCAAGGACGCAAGCTTGGGTGTTCGCCAGGGATCTCATCTGGGATCACTTCTGTTCTCAGTCTTCATTAACAATATTATAATGAAGTCATATAGGTAGACACTCCTTTTCGACGATGACATCAAGCTGTTCAAAAGAAGGTGGTGCAATCAACAAGCAAAAAGCGTCTTCAGCCTGACTGATCACTTATTGCAAACGCGCAGAAGACGCTTGTGAGTACAAATTTTGAAACGTTACGTTTCCAGGAAAAGCACTTTAAAAAATTTTTATTCCGGTTTTGAAAATTTTATTATTATTTTTATTTCATTAACATTTGAAGTTTCATAAAATGTCCATGGTAACGCAATATCTCTGGTGATTTTAGCGAATTTCCCATATAGGGAATAAGCTATTACCGTAGTACTCATGGTAAGACCTGGACGCGGGACCGATTTTTTTTTTCGTTTTGAGGTCCCTAGAGGCCAAAAACACCATCCGTTCAAATTCATATATATATATATATATATTTATATATATATATATTTATATATATATATATTTATATATTTATATATTTATATATATATATATGTGTCCGTCAGCACGATAACTCGAGCAAAAATGATCCGATTTTGATGAAATTTGGTACAAACGTGTAAAAGTACGTTTATTTGAACGAGTTCGCGATCCAGCATGATCGGACCATGGGAACGGGGGTTTACGGGGGGTTTTATGGGGTAAAAATAGGTTTTTTCCATTTTTGACCCAAAAAACATAAAATTTAGCAATTTCTTTCCAAACCATTTTGTAGAGCTTAAAAAAACAAATAATTTAGTATATTGAAGCGTTATTATGCGCCTAATGGTTACGGAGAAAATTCCAAAAATTTGTAAATTTAAAATTCCCATGTTATTCTTATGGAGAATAAGTAAACTGTTGTAGTTTGCTTGTTTGTGAACATATTTTGATCAAATTTGGAAAATGTTTTTATTTCTTACTAACTATTCACATTTTACAAAAAAAAAAACAGTTTTACCCTCCCTGATGCAGCAAACCTAAGTACTTGTTAAACTAATTCTATTTAAATCAAGAATAAATGTTATATTTTTAAGTAGACATTTCAGTGTAAATCCAATCAGTCAAATGGAAATTCGCTTAGTCTGCAGGTTTGCTGCGGCGGGGGTATTTTATTAATAGAGCATCTTTGATGGAAAAGCACAAAATTTTGTCACGACCATCACGGATATAAAACTGAATGTTAAAAATAGTTAATATTATTTTTATAACTATTTTGCTATAAATTAATTTACTTTTATGGCCGTTATACAATAAACAGCTCACTAAGCTTTTGGTATATTTGGTTTTTCTAGAAAAAAATAAAAAAAATTTAAAAAAGCCAATAAAATCTTTTTAAGTTTGTATAACTCCGAAAAACCGTTATGTTTTTATAGAGGTGTGCTTCTTTTGTGTATAATACATTGAAATATGATGATATTTTACTTTTTGAAATTTATATGATCGAAATCATAAACGTGATAGTGAAGGACAAGCTGTGCGGTCGTGAATTTTGTCTGGAATAATCTAAATCTTTCTAAACAATCATTCAATTATACTGTTAGTTATAAGAAAAATATGTGTTTCAATTGCTGAACTGAACTGTTCAATTTACAATGATATTTAAGTTACTGTCACAACCAAACACAGTATAATCCATAAGGCTGGATTGGTCGTGAAAAAACCCCGCAATGGTTGTGAAACTTTGGTCGTGACATTACGTGTTATTTGGCTCTGTTCTGGCGGTAGCCCTGCACCTCATGTTCAAAGTGGACTTCTAGTTTAATCTAGCAATTGAAATATCTTATAAACAAAAATTAACACCATGTCTACTTCATCAAATGAATATGTACGGTCATGGACACACCAAAATTACAAAAAACACAAACTTGCCTTTATTAATCTTGTAATATCTCCTTTCAACTCGAAACGACCGGCACTACAATCCTGACGTACACCCCGAACTAGTCTCTAAAACCAACTAACTCTAACTCCATTGACGCCAGGCTTACCACTGTCGTGTTCCAAAGTTGCAAATTTTTCCCTAATGGTCGTGACGTCAAATCGAGGGGCAGACCTATTTAGTCATGGTAGTCAGTTTACAATGAAAACAAAAATATTATATGCTCCTTTTTCATAAGTTTAATAACTATTGATGTAATAAAAATATGACATTATATATTTCGGCATGAATAACTGTTCTAAAAATAGCATGAAAGTTTCAAAATGTACCCTAGGGACACGTGACGGTCGTGAGTTTTGAGACTTTAAAAATACAAACAAATAGGTACCTAGAACCTATTTAAAGCCAAATAAGGGTGTGTAACACGTTGTCCCCGTCCCAAAAAATGTTAAACCACAATGATAAAGTACATATTCAGTATCTACGAAGTAAAAGGCCAGGGACATAAAAACATGTTTCAAAATTTTCACTCTTGTGTGAAACCAAGTCAAGACTGCTCACTGCTACAAGGAGGCCTAATCACGCTAAAACCAAATAAGTGAAGTCAGTCCAAAGAAGATTCATCAGGTTCCTGGGACACCTAGAGGGGTTACACTACTACTTAGAAGTCCCCATTGATGTTGTCTCAGAATCCTACGTATCCTCTCAGGTCTTGTTGATGTTGATGATAACCAAGAATAAATTAGGGTTCGGCACAGATCATTGAGGTAACTCCTAATTCATCTGCAGTTTTAAACAGCTTGCACATGTTACTTACATTTAGTCCTGTTGGCTAGGTTAGGTAGTTCTTGAAGGTAAAAAGAATCTGCATTGATAGCAGGATATCATTGAATACACATTCAAAAGCTCTGATAAGGTCAAAGAGGGTGGGAGCATAACTATCCAACTGCTTCAAAGGCCTCCTTCACTTCATTTCTCTTACAATGTTGGCATCAGCAGATGAGGTAGATCTCCCAGCAAGGAAATTATGCTGTGAGTCTGAAAACAACTAGGATTTTTCTTCAGAGTATCTGTACATTTTTCATCACCATCTCTATCACATTGCTCGATTGATGATCACTACGCGGAGTATCAAGATAGGCATGTGAGATTGTGAGATGCTGGCATATCACCTTTCTTGTAGATTGGGACCCCAATCTAGCTTGGCTATCTTTAGCTTGTCTGGTATGACACCTATCAAGCAACTGTTGATGACTGTGGTCAGGGGAGCAACAATATAGGAAGCAAGATCCATTAACATTTGAGATGACCATTAGAGCCCTTTCATTCAAGGCCACTTGTTTGCCCACCACAGCTTAAACTTTCCTTCCACCATGAGCTTAAACATTGTATTAAATGGTGGTCAGTGTAGCCGAGCAGTGTTTCATTGCTCAACTGCTAGCCGGCAACCACGGTGGCGACAACTAATCGCAGGGCTTTGAATTAAATAGAGCCGTCAGACAAAGTCACTATTGGCTGCCACCGCAGAAGTGCGGGCATAAACTGTTATGGGGTAAACAGTCAGTTCACGTGCGGAGATGACAAACGCATTTTAGTGGAGTGGTTTCCTGTTAAACTGTTTATTTGTTTGTTTGGAAAAAATCAAGGAGCAAAAGAAAAATAAGGTGGAAGTTGTGGCAAAAAAGAAAGAAGAACAGAATTGGGTTTAGCAAAATATTAGAAGACAAAATTAATTAAAATACTTCTTATTTGGATGATCTTATTTGTGAGATTGAAAAGTACTGTACCCAGAAATTTGAATAGTAACGCTAGATGTTCTGAATGTTTAGAAATTCTTAAACTTTAAAGTCCAGAAACCTTTGTTGGCTTCTTTGAGATGGGATTCCATCTGTCAAACAGCGGAGCTCTTCTGAGCTCTTCCTAACAAAAGCCAAGGCATCATGAGGGTTATCTAGAATGTTGATTATTTCTTTGGCAGATGAGATTAATAAAGTGTTGAACTCTTCTGGACTCGCTAAGCAAAACATTTTAGGCTTCTGGGGCTTTAACACTGCTGTTTCCCACACTCCAGGCTGCTTTTCATTAATTATATGATTTTGATAGTTTCTGAATATTCAATGTTTGATGAAGGACGTATCACTCTAAAACAGATACGCCGAACTTCCAGCGGAGCAATTAGATTGGAGCATTAACATCAGCCCTTAGAACTCGGTATAGGGAACAACTAAACTAGTCTAATAGGAATAGACCCTTTATCATTATTTACCAGAAAATTTAATTTAATGCATTCTTCTTCCTGAGCAGGAGTTTAGTAAGTTGGAATGAGGGACATTGTGACAAAGTGCAGCGTTTCTAAGTGAAATAAAATAGAGTACTCATTATTGCCAACCTTATCCACTAAAAAGTTTGACCATTTTATCAACTACCCATTGTTGTCAGCTCATCGTTCTGTTCTAAGGCTCAGCTCTCTTCTTTTTAAAAATACCAAAAACTTACTGCACTGTCCTAACTTTAACTTGTCAGTGAAGTGGTTTTCACATGTAGATTTTGTAGCTTCTAAAATTGTAAAAGGCATATTTATGATAAGAGCACTTAGGTCCACTGTTTCAGTTGATGTCCTTATTTGTATATATTATGGCCACATTCATAGCTATTTGTCTTATGGTACCTCAC